GCTGTAGCTGCTCCACTGCACCCCTCTGGATCTGCCCCTGCATCCAGCCAACACAGACTTTCCAGTCTGAAAGACCAGGTACTCACTTACAGCTGGGTTGACTGAGGGCAGTCTTTGGCATGAGTCCAGAATAAAATTCAAACTCATGCATCTGGACCCACAGCAAGACAGCGCTACCACTACACCTCTGCTGTGGGGAGTCACTGGGTGGAAAAGGTGTAATGTTAGGAAGTCATCACTCCATGCAACTCCTCCTTTCCTGCTCCATCCCTCCAGCAAAAGACTTCAGTAGGGGAGCTTTGGGTAACATAAGAACTAAAAGTGCTGGGGTGAGGAGGGATGCCCTCTGCATAGATGCCCTAACTGTAGGATTCACATCAGGATTTTCTGACTTGTCCTGCTTTGGATTTTCACCTTTGAATAAGTATTTCCATAAATGGGGATAGTTTGGCTGTTTAAGTTGGAGAAAAGCAAAATTCTCCACAATTCTATTTTTTTAATTATTTTTTTTCATTAATATTGCAATTTCTGTGACATGATGAACAAAGCCTATCTGTACAAGAAGAAACCTCCCTATTTTGACCAGCTCTAACCTACATATTCAAGGGCTCTGCTTTTGTCAGTAGGAAAATCTAGAGTAACAGCATAAACAGTATTGCAGAGGTGTCTGTGAACTGACCTGCAATGGGGGGACTCAGTAGGTATGGTACTGCATGAAGAAAATACACCACTCCTAGGGCTGATGATAAGGAAGCAGTTCCAACCACATCTGCCGTCACAACAGGAATCAGTGTTACATAGGCTCCATCAAAATACCCAAAGGTAAATGAGAAAGGCACAAGCAGAGGGAAGCTTTGGAGAACAGGTAGGAAGAGACAACAGAGGCCATCCATTCCCACAGCAAAGAGGTAGCAAATATGTCGATACTTCTTCAGACACCTGTGGATTTTAAAACAGGAAGCATAAAGCAATCTTACACACTTTCTCTTTGTTTCCATATATTTCTAGATTGATTACCTTGCTCTTTACAAATTATACAGGATTTTGTCGTCTTATTATATTTTTTCTGTTTTAACCCATCCCCTGCTTCTCCTATACTGCTAAATTTTAATGCCTAGCTTAACGTGCAAAGGTCTCTACCTAGCCACAGAGCAAATAACCTGAACCACATGACAGCAAACTAACTTCCTGTTCCTTGCTCCTAATTTTGGAGCATGCTGGTAAAAGAAAAGTAGGTTAGTATCTGGCCACATTCAGCTACTTGGTTTCTACACTTTTATCTTTATATGTTGAAGAAAAGGCTCTCAATATCTTGTAAAATAAGACAAAATACCTACTTCTCTCCTCTTTAGTGGTGTAAACCAGGAAAGATTCAATTGAGGTGAAAGTGAGTTAAACAAGAGGGAGCAGAGACCTACAGTTCACAGCAACTCAAATATCATATATATGAAATAAACGGGACAACCAAATTGGCTTTTAGACTTAGATTCCCACACTCACGTGATCTTCTGCACCAATGTTATAAATACTGCATAAGTGTTGAGAATGAGCTAAGATGGCACAGCATGGCTAAACACTCAAAAGTCAGGCAATGCAAACATTTGGGTTTGCATAACCTTAACTCTGTCCTTTTGTGCATATGCAGTAAAGTGCAGGGCCAAATTGTTGGCTCTTTTCCATTGCTTTTGGGATAGTAGTACAGAGGAACCAGGCTATTATCCTCTCGTGATTGGACACAGAGGACAATGCTAATTTACGTTATATTTATGGCATTGACCAGGGATTTCCAATGTATTTCCATGGTGAACCCAGTTCTGGACTCGTGACCCCACTTCCAGTCTCAGTCCAATCACTATCATTCAATTTCTGTGATACTAACAACACTAGACATATGCAGTTGGGACTCCTAGGTTGGTAACTGCTGCCACAGACCATGATAACTTTTAATTCAAACTTAAAAATATAATTAAAATCTGAGTTAACCTACAGATGGAATCAATGGTAAGTGATAAGCATTTCTAAAAGATGTATGATGGTAATCAACAGAAAAGAAATTAAAGTTGTTTCCAATATCATCAATATAGAAGTTAATATGCATCACACATCATCGCACCATCTGCAAACTGATGTCTGTCATTACCTTCTGTCTGTTAGCCATCCAAAGGTGATATTGCCAATAATGTCGACGACACCAAGTATAGACATAAGGAAAGCAGCCTCCTGATGACTTACACCAACGCTCAGAGCATATGGCACTAGGTAGACAAAGAGAGGGCTACAGCCATATGCCATAAACAAAACAGACACTGCTAGCACCATGAAGTCTGGCATCAGCAAAAAGTTGTACTCCTGCCATGAGCAGTGACATAGACATTCATGGGACCAGTCTTTCATTAAAGGTGAACACATGGATATCTGCTTTAAGTCTTGCTTCTGTGCTTTGGAGACATACTCCTGTCCAAGCAATTCAGGAGGGTTTTCATGGTCCTCCTTAAGAGTAATAGGCCGCATTAAAGCACCACAGACACAGAGGTTTAAAACAAAACCTCCCAGGATTAGTAATGCTCCCCGCCAGGAAAACTGTTCAATTAAGAGCTGGACCACAGGAGCCAGAATGAAGGTACCAATGCCACTCCCTGACATGGCTATCCCATAAGCCAGCGCTTTTCTTTTGTTGAAATATTTGCCCACCATTGCTATGGCTGGAGAATAACAGAGTGCAAATCCAAGCCCTAGAAAAGAAGCAGATTGCATATTATTTAATAGTGAGTATATATAATAGAATACATTACAGTTAGCCAAATAACCTACTTCCATCAGCACTAATGAATGGGAGGGCCCCTGCTTACCACAGTTTTACAGGTCAGGAATAAGTGAAAGTGGTAACACCCCCTGGAAGGACACCAGAGTAAGCAAATGCAGTTGAACCTCAATAATATGTTTCATGCAGAGGCCTGGTGAGGATTGGTGAGCTTTATGTTTTGGTAAGTGCTCAGGCTATAAAAAGAACATCAGCAATGATAAGTGGTCTAGCTTTTTATCAAGGCAAGAAAGTTAAAAAATGAAAACATGGCACCCCACTAAACCTCTAGGGACCATGTCATCATGCACACTGTTCTGAAAGCCAGTGCTCATTGTGGTCGGGTCGACTACAAACCCAAATATCTATTTCCTGGGCAGATCTGTGTAATTGCAGACCTCTGAAGAAAAATTTAGGGAGGGGTTCCCTGTTTTGTGAATTGTATGACATGCCACTTTCTTTAACCAAGCAAACAAAATATATTTTTCAACTGGTTGGAGTATTAAATCCCCTTGAGAAGCCCTCAATCCTATTATTTTGATTTAGATTATGATTGTGATGATTTTCAAAATCACGTCAATAAAGGTTTTCTTTAAAAAAAGAGAAAAGAAAGGAAAAGAAACAAAAAACCAAACAGCATCTCTTGGAGAAAAAATTGATTATAGAATTTCAAGGAGAGATAACAATCAGATGAAAGTTTGCATTAGTACAGTGTTTCAGCACAGATTTCTGAATCAGTCATAGAAATGTATTCCAGCCTGGGATTTTAGAACAAATTTCATCTTCAGATAAAAATAGTCCCCCTTCCCAAAGGGCGTGTCTATTATGAACATTTACTGTGCAGTAACCAAAATTACTGTGCATTAAGGGCATGTGTCTACATATGGCAACTTATGCCGACTTGAGCGTAAAATTGATACCTGCATCATGCTGGTATCAAATTTATACCCAATTAGTTACTGCACAGTAATCCACATGTAGACAATTTACTGCACAGTAACACTGTATATGGACTGACTTGGGATTCATTTTAGTTCCAAATCAGTTCACACACAGTGTTAATGCGCTTTAATTCCTGCACATGTAGACACCAGCCTATTCCCATTTACTGCACAGGAAATTTAAACCAGCATAAATGCATATGTAGACACACCCAATGTCTACAGCAGAAAGAACCAATGTGGGAGATACTCATATTCAACTGTAACAGGCTACCAGTATTAGCTATCAGTGCTTTATTCTTGCCAACATTAACCTACTATGCATTAAACCTACTAGGTGGAATGGATTACACTGACACAGGAAGGCAAATGCTGTGTTACCTCACTCAGATATAACAGGTAGTATAACTAGGATGTGGACAGCAGCCTTGAGGTAGGACCATACGAGTAGCCACACCTGAGTGGGAGACTTGAACTAAATTTTATCTTATTTTACTGATCATACCTTTGTCAATTAAACCAAATCCCAGTAATGGATGGGACTTTAATCCTGTTCAGTGTACTGACTTTGTTTCAGAACACTAAAAATCCCTAAGAGTAAAACAATGTAACATTAATATAATATAATAAAATTATCCAGGTCACAGGGAACTCAAAATTAAAGGTCTGTGAAAGGTCAACCAAGGAAAAGGATATACACTGCATTTGATCCCTTTAGAAGTGCAAACATTTTATGAATCTGAAAAGACCTTCATTTATATATTACTAAATAATGAATGGAGCAATGAAGAAACTTAGTCCACTATTATCAGGCATCTGTCTTTTGGCTCTCCACTAGTGGGTTATATATATTCTCCTTTCTGGATATATTCATTATGAAGAAAGGCTGAAAGAATTAGGGTTATTTAATCTGGAGAAGAGAAGACAAAAGGGGAATTTGATAAAGTCTTCAAATTCCTGAAAGAAAATCATAGAGAGGATAGAGATGACTATTCCCTGTGGCCACAGGGTACAGGACTAAGAGCAATGGGCTCAAGCTGAAGCAAAGGAAATGTATGTTGGATATTAGGGCTGTGGTTATGTTGGATATTAGGGCTTTGGTTTCTGATTCGATCTGGAGGATATTTGGCCTAATTCAGCAGTTGAATCTCTGAAACCAAATTGAATCAGGAGACCCATTAATTTCTCCGAATTTAATCAGAAGCCTCCGAAATGATTCGGAGGGATTCAACAATTCAGCCATAGACACAGCCTTATATGTTTTTTCTACATACCTCAAGGTACCAGGTGCGGCTTGTGAATACTGAGATGGTGGGGCAGATGGAGCATCCCACGGGAGCATGGGGGAGCCCACCCACTGCTTGGCAGTGGACTCAGAAGTGGACCAGAAGTCCCCCCCCCGCTTCCAGCTTGGCGACTGATGCCTCCTGGGTCTGGGGGGCACTCGAGGTCCCCCCCGTGGCCGCTCACTAAGCCTAGGGAGTGTGGCGGGGGGGGCCCCTGCGCACTCAGAAGTGGACCCGAAATTGAACTGGAAGTACTTCTGGTCCACTTCCAGGTCCACCGCTGAGTACGTGGGCTTCCCTCCTCCCCAGCCCCCCCGTGCTCCTGTGGGATGCTCCATCTGCCCCACCATCTCAGCATTCATGAACCACACCTGGTACCTTGAGGTATGTAGAAAAAACATATAAAGCTGTCTATGGCTGAATCGCTGATTCTCCGAATCAGAATCGAATCTTCAGATTCAGCCGAATCGAATCTGAACAGTGATCCGAATCAGCGAATCGAATCACTGTCCCCCGAATTGGGCCAAATCCAATGTGAATTGAATACTGCCCACTTTGCACACCCCTATTGGATATTAGGAAGAAATTTCTGACCATAAGGGTGGTCAAATATTGGAACAGGCCACATAGAGAAGTTGTGGACACTCAGTCTCTTGAAATTATCAACTGATGGTTAGAGAGATACATGGCTGGGATGGTTTAGTCAGGGATGATCCTGCCTTGAGCAGGGGGCTAGACAACATGATCTCATGTGGTCCCTTCTAGCCCTACTTTCCTATGATCCTATGATCACTTTAGTAAGTCTCTCAACTTCTACTGGCTCTGAGTTTGGATATATGCTACCGCTGGTCTTGACTCCCCTCTGGGTTACACATTTGCTTGCTGGGTCAGCATAAGCAACCATTTACTGTGGGTTCATTTCTTCATTACTCCCTGCAGACTAAATTCACTGTTTGACGAATGGACTGTCTGCAACTTAATGCAGAATACCTTATTGCTTCTCTTCCTCAGTATTTATAATAGTTCTCATAAAGATTCTCAGGAAGCTTCAATGGCATTTGGATGGTATGTGATATAGAGCTTTGGGTAACAAGGGACTTTATTTGTTATGAACACATTTGGCAAAAATTAACACTGTAATGCAGGAGCAACACATATGCAAGGATTTTTTTTCTTAGCAAATAAGTTGTTGGCAGCATATGAAGCATAGTAATTCTACCAACTTGTTACTAAACAGCAGGAGACCAAGAACAAGACTTACATCACCATGGCTACCATGTCAATTTTAATGAGTCAGGAATCTCAGTATAACCATTGATTTAAATAAAGGAAATCTATGTAAGGCCATAGATGGGTTGGTAGGATATTAATGTTAGAGAGAAAAACTAGCAGCCTGCCATCTAGAAAAAACTCCTTTCCGCAGAGTTTACTCTCTGCCCTCTTCAAGCTGATGTTACTTTACTCTGTGCCTGCAAAATCACCAGATTAGAACGATTTCAGGCAAGCTTGGGGAGCAAATTCCAGAGCCCTGGAGCCCTCGCAGGGAACACTCAGGCAGCCATCCCCTCTCTTTTATAATAAGGAAGATCCACCTTGAACATCTCTGGTGATTAGATCTGTGGCAATATGAAGATATATCTTTAAAAGTTTAAGTTAATTGCTCTGACAATTCTGGGTTGCTTTGTTGGTTGGAACATACCACATCAATCCCTCCTCCTACCTGTAAGAACTCCTAGTGACAGGTAGAGGTGCTCCAGGCTTGTGGCAAATGAACTCAGGATTAGTCCTGTAGATGCAAGCATTCCTCCCAGCATGATGCCCACTTGACAGGACACACGATTACTGATAAAACTTCCAAGTGGGGCTTTAAGAAATGATGAATGAAGTTAGTTGATAGCGCCTCATCACATGCATCACACTACCATGAAAATGAAAGTTTAGGAAAAGAAATAACCACCAAAACCAAAGAGAAGAAAATACTGACCTGCTTCCACAGCTAATTAGAGTAACATTTCACTATCACATACATCACTATGGTACTTGTGAGCAACCTAAAAACCCTTGCAAAAATTATTATATTCTGTTTTCTATAAAACCAGGTAGAGCTGAAGCCATTTTTGTAGGCCAATGGCATCTCTCAATTAACGGGGACAGGAGGAGACAATGGTGCTATCTAGATAAGGAGCATCATTACTACTGCAATAAATCTGCAGCTCTTGGAATTTACATTGAAGCTCTGTTTGGGTATGTCCCTTTCACCTTCTCACTGAGGGTCTCAGACCTTAAATGATGTGGTAAAGCTCTCTCTGTCTCCCTCTGGAGATTAGATAGAGGCTCATCTCACCTATATGAAGAAATCATTTCTCATCCTACCTACTTTCACAGAATTCTGAATGATAAACTTATAATCAAATCACATGTAATCTGGTTGATGCAGAATGGTTACCACAACTTACTTCTAAGATGTCCGGCTGTTTTTAGGCCCCAATCCTGAAAAGTTGGCAAACTTTTCCACCCATGTGCCTCATGCTGTAGGATTGGGGCCTAAATTTGCAGTCCTATGAAATATATTCTTGAGAAATTCTTGAAAACAAAATGTGTGTTCAAAGAGTAAGCCGGGAAATATTTTTAAAAGAATGAAAAAGGACATTTACCCGAGCAAGTGTTATGGATGTGACTTGAACTAAAAGAACAGCCCATCAACTTTAAAATGTAACTCAAGCAAAACAAGTGTAATGTAACATCAGGCAAAATGTAACATCAGGCAAAACAAGTGGTAGTTTAGTTGCTCTCAAACCAAGATTTATCCCTTAGTCTTTATCACACATTTCTTAAAGAAACATCACTTGACAACAAAATGATTTGCTTCTTTTCACTATCAAACAAAGTTATTTAAAGAGAATCCCTTCTTGCCAAACCACACTATGGGAATCAGCTATACCATTTGTTTCAAAAGGCCAGGCTGGCCTGGACAAAAGCCATTGACATGATTAGAAGCCCCAAATCAGAATATTTCCCAACTAGCTCCAGTGACTTATGAATACACTGTCAGGTGTCCCCACTCAGGAACAAACCAATCTATTATTTTTAGAGGGCAATACACACCGCAGAGCATTGTAGCACAGTCTGCAATGGAATGGATCCATGCTGTTCGGGCGTAATCCTGAGCAAAGTAGGTTTGGAATTCCACAAAAAATATTGAGATGCATCTAGGAAAGAAAACATGAATATTGATGTTTTAAGAACGCAGTTAATGCATTACAGAAAACATAAGTTGTTGCTATTCAAGGATAACAGAAACCTGTTTTTGGCTCCTTTCCAATTCTCCTGGAAGTAAATGGAAAGATAACCACTGGCTTCCAAAGGAGTTGGGTCAGGTCTTTAAACACCTGCAAAGAGGAGTTTGAAAAAAGAATCTGTGTGGATATGCTGAAAACCTGGAAAATGAAAATGTGGTGCAAAACCTGGATAATGAGTACAGCAGTTCATACAGTGCGTTTACCCCTGTCTGACTGAACCAGAGAAGAACCCTGGATTTTGCACCAATGACTGAGTCAGAGGATGGTCTTCAAATCTGATCCTAATAGTGGGATTACACAGAATTAGATTAATTTAGATCACATTAATCTAATGCAGATAGATTAGTTTAATCCAGAGAAATCTGACGGAAACATTAATGGAATTTTTCTTACTTTATCTGATATTTCTATTGTACAGAGCTGAATGAGCACAGAAGATGCAAAGGTAGTGGAAAACAAGAAAAAATATTCAATAAAAGAGGAATCTAAATATCAAAAGGGCCAATGGGTCTGTGCCAGCTTTTTAAAACTGTTTATTAAAATGCCCATGAAGGAGATAATCTTGCTTTGTTCAACAAGTATCATTACTATGCCTGCATGCATATAGGAAGAGACTAGAGATTGTTTTGTTCCATTCTAGTTTCAGGCTGATAACAGGATACAACTTTGGTAAATTCTCTACAGTAATCTTTAAAGTTCTAATAAATATTTCTTTTTACAGGCATGGCCAATCCTTAAAAGGGATGAACAATCTTTTCTTTTCAATTCTAATCCACCACATACTATTATCCTATCTTTCTGTTCTTGTTTCTTCCTCCTTTATATATAGGTTCAAAACCAAAGGCCAGCTATTTAAAATCTGGCCAGTAAAACAGAAAGCAGTTTTCTCCCTCCTGTCTTGTCTATGTTAATAATATAAACATTTTCTAGGTATAACTAGACTCTTATTAGTATTATTTATTTTGCAGTACCTGAGAACGGTAGCAGTAGGTGCTGCAAACAGTCAAATGACAATCCCTGCATCAAGATTCTTATCAAATGCAATTTCTATGATATTTACTCATGAATAAAGTTAAGTGTGCACTTCAGGTCCTAAGGACCTGATCTTTCAATGATTTTTTTGTGAACAGGCCTTGCATCCCACTGAAATCATCAGGCAAAACTGCAATAAAACACATAAACATACTTCTTCCACGAATCTATAACGTATAAATGCTGGGTGTATCTTCAATATTTCTGTATCATGAGCAAACAAAGTTGGCTTTTAGTTGACTTTTCAGTAGGATGACCATAATAATTTTAGGAAAATCCAGGACAGAATAAGGAAATCCAGGACAGCAGGGGGGTGGGGGAGGGCATGCATGTGCGCGTGCGCGCACACACACACATGCACACACGCACATGCGCACACCATGCGTCTGTACCCACCTCCTCATGTGGACATATACACTAGGGCTATGCGAGACTCTGGATCATGCTTCAGATCTGGGGCCGCTTTCGACACTTCAGCGTCCGAAGCAGCATGCCCAGAGTGAAGCATGGGCTTAGTTAAGATGTCCAAAGCGGTTCGGAGCTTCTGAAGTGCTTCGGAAATGCTTTGGGTGCTTTGGACACTGAAAGTGAAAGTTAGAAAAGGGAGAGGGAGCAGGGGAGGGAGGGAGAGTGGGAGGTGGAGGGAGGGGGAGCAGGGAGAAGACTGACATGTGTAGGTGGCCAGTGAGAAGGATTTCTCTCTGGCTGCCTTTCCAATGACAGCATCTGGGGGGGGGACCTAGAAACAGCATAAAAAGCCTCTGTTTGGAGGTGTTCTGTGCCTTTTCCTAGCTTGTTCCCTCTCAGGAACTGCATGAGAAAGGAACCCTCGGACTCAAGAATTTCAGCTTGCCTGCTCCTTTTTGTTGTTAGAAAGGATTGGGTAGGATTTAGCTTATTTTAGCTATTCAATTACTATTACTATTCAATTCATTTATTTGAATTTATATTTGCTCTTTTTTTTTTGTTGTTAAAACAAAAGAATTAACACACACACACAGACCTTTTGCAGCACAGGAAAGATCAATATGAAGCATGCTGGAAAGGCAGGTGCCAGATCTTCTGGCAGGGGAGGGAGAGGGGGTAGGGGGAGAGCTGGAGGTGCAAGTCCTCACCCCCAAACATAGATGCATTCTCTTCCCAAGCAGCCATGACATCATGCCAGTGGAAGCAAGGAGGTGGGAGCAGTGTCTGCACCTGATGTCCCTGCACCTGCATCACCTCCCTTCAGTCCAGAAATAGGCACCAGCAGTGGAATCACTGTCATCTCCACCCCAATGTCATCTCTCAGCGTGAGCCTCCCACTGCCAGAGGAGGAGCTGGAGCTGGAACCAGGGATGCTGAGTGCACTGGCTCAAGCAATTCTAGGGACTGAGAGGGAATCAGAGTTTCTGCTCCACATCCCTCAAATTTCCCTTAGACCCAGGTCTCCTCTGGAAAGCAGCACCTCGGAGGAGGCTGAGGTTGTGGAGGCAAGTGGCTCAACTGAGCCAGCTCCTTTTGCTGTTCTGCCTCAGCCTGCTGAGGAGTGGGATAAGGCAGGATCTTCACCCTCAACCCAGAAGCAGGAGAGTAGTAGTGTGGGAACATTTTGAGCTGGCAGATGATCCCAGGTTTGCCATCTGCCAGCACTGCTAAAAGCACATGAGCTGTGACAAGGATGTGAGACCTAAAGCTGGCATCAGTGAAAATGGAAATGGAGGTGTCAGGTATATTGAGTCCATGAGTTTCTGTACCTACTACCAAGGAGCTCATGAAGTGCAGTTCATAGGCCCAGCTCTGAAAAGTGGTTTACATTGTAATTTGTTTCCTCTCAGGATCATGCCTGAGAGATTGCAGGCAGAGTGTTTTTTTGGTGAGGAATGTGTCAACCCAGGTAGTTGGGTTTTGTTGTCTGATAGATTCTGGTGTGCAGTTTGGGGGGGTACTGGAAATAGTTGACAGGTCTTGTGTTTTGAGCTGTAGGAAGTTGGCTTCAGTTCTGGTGATGAGGTTAGGTGCTTATTTGAATGTACAAACCACTTTTCAGAGCTGGGCCTATGAACTGCACTTCATCAGCCTCCTAGGTAGTAGGTACAGAAACTCATGGACTCAATATATGCAGGCATACTGCGACCTGCTGGACATCTGACACCCCAGGCACCTCTGCATTTTTACCTGTGCTGCTACATCCCTCTTTCCCCCCTCCCCCCCCCCCCAGCCTGTCCCTCGTCCCTTGACCCCTCCATTTCCATTTTCACTGACTGGCTTTCTTGCCTGCATTGCATGCCAGGCCAGCCTCTGGCTTCTTTACTATCCCTTTCATCCAGGACCAACTGCAGGTACTTCCTCAGCCTGACAAAGAGGTTTTCAACACTAAAGCTTCCAAAGATACATCTTTAAGTGCTTCTTTTTTTTTCATAATACACCTATAGACATAAAAACACAAGATAAGCTATCACACACCATGAGTAACATCATATGTCCAGCACAACACAACATCTTTACTTCTTGCTGTCAATTCCTTTATAAAAAGAAAGGGTCTGTGACAGTTCCGTTTGGGTACCTTTGATGCTGATGCTACTGGTGTTGATTCAGCTAAGTTATTTTACCTGTTGTCATGTAAAGTGGTGGACCAGACATGAGGCTGTAGGGGAGGAGGAGGCCTCACTGGGGCACACTGCCGTGTTGTGGAGAGGCCTCAGTGCCAGGAAGGGTACACCTTAACACATACACAGTGTCACCCACCCACATCACAAGATTTGCCTGTCAGCAGCTTGTGGTGCAGGGCCCCAGAAGACAGACTCCCCAGTGAGACATACACACAGCTGGCAGGCTTCATAGCCTGGCAGGGCCCAGCACCCAGGCCTGCAGTAGGTTCTACCCCCCTGTGCCCCAAGACAGCAGTCACCCAAGCACCCACCTACATCACAAGTTTTGCCTGTCAGCAGCCAGAGGTGCAGGGCCCCAGAAGACAGATTCCCCCAGCAAGACAAACACACAGCTGGCATGCTTTTTGGCCTGAGCAGGGGCCACCACCCCTGCAGTTTTCAGACCGCTGCACCTTAACACACACAGGGTCATCTGTGTCATGAGTTTTGCCTGTCAGCAGCTTGAGGTGCAGTTCCCCCCAAACCTCTGCACCTATCTTCTTGAAACTTTGCATACTTTGTGGCCTCACCAGGGGCCACCACCCCTGCAATTTTCACCCCCCTGTGATGTAACACATAGACGTTACATGAGTTTTTCTTGCAAGAATTTGGGTGCAGTTCCCCCCAAAGCCCTGCATCTATCTTCTTGAAACTTGATAGGTTTCATGCTCTCAGCAGAGGCTACTACACCTTCAAGTTTCACCCAACTCAGAGACAAAACAACAAAGTTATAGATATTTCATTGATCCCCCATTATACCCTATGGCCGGATCTCCAAGGCAGGTCTGAAGCTTCGGAGCCACTTCAGCCGGATCGAAGCAGCAAACTGATCCAGAGCTCCGGATTGGATCACTGACATCTGAAGCGGCTGGATCTGAAGCCGCATCTAATACCTGTCTACTCGCATGGGCCTAGTATACACGCGTGGACTCACAGCCCCAACCCCATGGCTCCAAGGAGCCCTGATGGTGGAGTGGGGCAAGGCAGAACAGTGTGGAGATCCATGGCCAGGCAGGTCCAGCCTTTGCGTGCAAGAAATATGCAGCCCAGCCGCAGGCCTCTGCACAGTTCTGCCATGCTCCACTCTGCCATCCTCCACTCTGCCATCCTGGCTTGCCCTGCATAGGTGCTCAAACCCTGGCCCATTCCTCCTGGTCTGCCTCACCCCAGCCTGCCCTGCCCCAGGCACTAGGAACAGCGCTCAGCTCTGCATGTGTGGGTGGGGTGGCCCCAATCTGGGACTTTTGCTTCAATTCTCACCAGCTGGCCAGGAGACCAGGACAGCTTACAAAAACCAGGACTGTCCCAGCCAAACCGGAACATTACCTTCATTTTAAGATGTTTTCATGAACCACCAAGAGCACATTACTATGGAAAGACAGCATGGTCATGTCCACGCACGCAAGCATGTGCACTTGCAGCAGCTCAAATAGAAGCAGTGTAAATTTGAGCTGGGGCTTTTTGCCTCAGCACATGTGCCCGGACATGTACTTTGGTGTGCTACTTGGGGCAAAACAACCCTGCCTGGCTCCTCCTGGATCTGCAGTGTGGGGGAGCTAGAGCCCAGGGCCAGCACCTGTGCTGTCTCCAACAGTATTAGAAGCTGCCCTGTCCTGGCTGCATCAGTACAAAAAGCTGCCCTGTCAAGTAGCTCAGGGCTACTCACTCTCAGAAGCTTCTGGGGCCCAGCCAGTTGGTACCTGGGGACACTATGCTCTGTGCCAGCTGGACTGCTGAAGCAGCCCTGAGAGTTCCCTGTACCCTTTACCCAATGCAGCAGTCTGGCAGTGGGGGCTGCTGCCTGGCTGGGACCTGCTGTGCACCGGCCAGACCCGGATGGAGACTACACAGCTAGTAGAGGCATCTGCCCCTCTGAGCCAGCTGCCAGTGGGCTGTGGCTGCAGAGTTGGCCTTTGTGTGGCACTACTGCCATGTGTGCCCCCTGCCTGGCCAGCAGGGCAGCTATCGCCCGGAAGATGTTCCCAGTGTGGTGGCCTGCTTTGAACTGTCAAATCATGTCCTCCTGGCCCCAACTGGCCAGGAGGTCAGGCACCTCCAGCTGGGTCCAAGATGCCAGCTCTGAGCAGGCTCCTCTGCCTGCGTCCTCCAATTGCCCCCCTAGCAGGAATTCTGGCATTCCCTATCTGAAAACTGAAAAATTCCTGATAAAAAAAATCCCAAAGTCACTCTGTAAAATACCCCAAAATCCATGTTCCTCCACAATTAAAACAAAAGACCACTATATATACAATGAGAGACAGAGAGACAACGATCAGTTGGACAATGTTTTATTGATATATCTACAGTGTTAAAGCAATTTGGAAGCCTTCCAGTGTCTCTATCATCATAATAAAATGAATTCTAAATACCTATATGTTTTGCTATTTGCCTTTGGTTTTCTTACCATAGAGCAGTTAGAGCTCCTCCTGACCCCTTCACTAACCAGGATGTGGGGACAGCTGCCCCTGCAGCCACAGCCCCTGCCATCCTGTCTAACAGCTGGGCACACAAGGTATGTGCTGGGGGGATGTGGGGTTTGCAGGAGAGGGGTGGAAAGGTGGGTGGGGGGATGTGGGTGGCTGTGGAGGGATGTGGGGGGCATTGGGGTGTGTGGGTAGGTGTGGGTGGATTTTGGAGGGACTGTGTAGGGGTGGGGCTGCACAGGAGGGGGGGGGCCC